CTGTGATGGCACATCAGATTTTTCTTTTCTAAATTTCGGAATGGAAAAAATAGTAAAAAAAACCCCAAAATAGAATAAACTGCCGATAGATCTTTAAAAGTCCTTATTTCTGATAAGGAATAGACAAATATTCTTTTCCTTTTTTTTCTTAAGCATTTTATTACTGAGGAAAATTAAGCCTGTTGTTTCCAACTTCTGGAAAAGAACAGGATGTCAACAAGTTTAGAAAATTTGGCCAAAATAAGTGGTTTTTTTTCTCATTTTAGAATGGTCACAAAAGCTGAAAAAATATTTAGTTTCCTGTTATTAGCATACTAATCCAAAAGAGAATGAAATAACTTTGTTTGGATACAATATTGCTATGTTTGTCATAACCAGTAAAATTTACCAGGTTTCAACAGGTTAGGCTATCCATCCAGATTGTGTGAAATGTGAATAGGGTTTATACAGAGAAATACTTTAAAGTTATGCCCTTCTTCTATTGTGCAAATAATGCCTCCAAATCAATACAGGGACTTTTTAAAATGCAATTTTGTCTTCAGTTTCTCTGTGTAACCTCTACACCTTTTCTGTCAACACCATTGTTTAAGGAAACAATTCCCTCTCACCAATCCCTCTGTTAATTACTTTATGAAAAACATTTTCCAATGTTTCCTGTAGCTCCACTTGAAAAATGCATTTATACACCAATGTTTGTTAAATGAATACTGTGTGAACATTTAAATCAGTGAAAAGTATGCAGCTAGAGATTGAAGTGAGATCAGAAGGTAAGATGGAAAAAGGACTCCATGAACAGCATCAGGCACAAAAGGAGAGATGAATTAGTGGGATATTCAGGCACTTAGTGCAAAGGAAGGCACTGAAGCCAAGAGCTGAATGAGACTTGTACAAATGGAACTGAAGAAAGTGTATTTTTGAAGGATAACTTGCAATTTCTGCACAAAATCCTGGCTTCATACAGAGTATTTCACTGACAGCATTAAGGTGTGGGTAGGCCACATAGCTGAGGATTGCACTTCATAGATGTCAGGAGAGTACCTTGAAATCTTGGAAAACTAACATAAAATAAAGTTTTTTATAATATTTATGATATTCCTATTATAGAAGGAATACCACCTGTCTTCCATGAGTGCTCTCAGCCTCAGGCCACAACTCAATCCTGTTTAAGCACTTCTGCTCACTGTAGTTTGAGGCGGCTCTGTTAAACATTACTGATCCTTACAAAGGTGAAGGAAAATGACATTTTAAGAAAGAGATCTAAATCAGTCCTATCCACTGCAAAACTCTTTTAAACTTCTATCAGTTCTTCACATAGAGGAGACCTTACTTCTCCTGAGAGCGGCCAGAGGTGATGGGGTTGGTTCCCAGGCAAAGCAACCACAGAGTTTTGGAAAAATCAGGCCTGGTTTAGAAGGGCACAGGCCTGGGTCTGTGCACCAGCAGTTCCACTGTCTCCAAGGCATTCTCTGGTTTTCCTAAACTTCTGAACCCATGAAGGGCACCTGTGTGCTGGCTCTGGTGTCCTGTGCATTGCTCTGAAACACCTGGGGAGCCCTGAGAGGAGCAGATTTTGCAGTCCAGGCCTTCCTTGCATCACCAGTTCACCGAGAGGGAGGACTGGGACATTCAGCTTTCAGCTCTGAGTCCTTCTCAGAAAACAGAACCCATCTAATGTTTCAAGCTGGCAAAAATAAACATGAATGCTTAGGGAGTGACTGCTTTTCCACACTGTCCCAAGCAGGCTCTGCTGCTCCCTTTTCAATCCAACATGTGTTGGTATCTCTTGGCAGTGGGGAGATGCAGCTATAAATATCTCCATCAGGACTCCCAGCAGCTGAGTTCTGCAGCCAGATCTCCCAGCAGATAAATGACTTGAACTGGTGTTGCTCAGAATACATTCCCTTCCCACTCAGCTGTTGCTGAAAAATGCTATTGATACTTTCATAAAAGCCTGTTTTCAAGTGCCTGGAAGTGCCCTGAATTCAGTCATTTTCTGCCTCTCCTCTGGAAGGGTGATCCTGTGAAATGAATCTTGGACAAAAGTGAAATAGAGAGGCCAGTGATTATGTTTCAGCAGAGCACTTTAACACATGCTTAAAATAAAACTTTGAAGCGACTTCCAAACTCCACAAGCTCCATCGAGTCAGAATTCAGAACTGGGCTAGACTGTTTTCATTCAAGTCTTTGTTAAGATACTGGGGAAAAATATTCCTTGATTTTAACCCACAGTGGAAACAATCTCTTTTGAACACTAATTATGAGCTATTAGCAACCAAGACTGTAAAGAATTTGTCCTGTTTCTTGCTAAAAAGTCTCTGGTTTTATCACTAAAGAATGGATCCTCAAAAGAAACAAAGCACAGCACATATCATAAGGCAAACCACATTTATTAAAAATTGCCTCTACAGCAATTGCTCCTCTACTATTTCTTCTGCTCTTCTCTCCATTTCCTCCAATTGAGAATATTTAGAAATATTTTCAGAGTCAGGCTTCCAAAAAAACGTTGAATAATCAGGAAAATACTAATGAGTTTTCAAGAATTGGCATTTTGAGGGTCATTCTAAAAAGCTACAAGATGGAGTGCTTGCTTTAAGTATAGATGTTCCAATAGGAGGAAGATCAGGTTTTGCAATCCTCAAAATGAGGCTTAAGGTCCATTGTAAGAACACAAGTGTTCCTCTTTACTCAAAAAAGGACTGCATAAAGGTAGATAGAATAAAACCCAGAATGAACAGTGTGGGAATCCATTTAGAGTTATGAAACTGTAACTAAATACATCCTTTTGTAGCTCACAAAGCCAAATTGTAGCTGCAGCAGTTAATTTTTAATGATGAAATTACTATCTGCTTTGTGACAGGTCACATGGCCACTGCCAACACTGAAATATTTAACAAGAAACATGGATAGTACCCACGAATTTGTTTTGTACAAACTCTCCCAGATAATCCCTAAGTCTTTGTGTTGTTTTTAAGGCCAAAGAATTTACAATCATAAAGCCATGTAAAACACTTCAGACATTCTCTTCAAGGTAAAAGTTTTTAATACAATTCCTAAGTACTTAAAAGTCTATAATTAATCACGTTTTCTGCCATTTTAGGTATGCCAAAAGATTGCAACTATAAAATGCTCATTCCACAAGACACACAATCTTTCTAAATTCAGTGCTAACTTTGTCAAACCTATTTCATCTATCTCAAAGCAGGGACAGAACAGTTACTGTGCCCAGTTATTCTGTAAACTCAGGAACCTGAATTTTTCATATATCCCAGACCCCCGAAACAGGGAAACAAACAAACAACCAAAAAAAGGCCTTTTGAAAAAGAACATCTTTAGTTCAACAGATGTTGTGTCTTATCTTAGAGGAAACACCAAATCATTCTTGGCTACATAAGAAAAAGGAATTCAGCAGCTGCTCTCCAAAGAGTTAATAGTGAAGGTAATATCAGGTATGAAACATGAGGCCTAAAGTTTTCCTATTCTAGACATCTTTAAATTTTTCCACATCTTTGGTACTCACACCTAGAGCAGACCGGACAAAGAATATTAAAGTTACCACTGGTTTAAAAAAAAATAGAATAAAAATTAAATTAATCTGAAACATCACTTGGTGACATTTGATGCCTGATAAATTCCAGAGTTTGGTGCTATGGACCTGAAGGCAGGTGAGACCAGGTGTAGTATCTATAAACAGCAAAGAAACTATTTTTTTCTTTGTACAAGAAACAATCAGTTTGTACAAGAATACTGTTTGTATTCTTGATTAGCCCTGGCAGCTGAAATGATTTTTTGATACAATTTTCAACCACACACTGAAGTGAAGGAGAACAACACACTTTTCTTGAAAGAAGCCTACTTATTTGCTTTTAAGAACATGGAATGGCTTTTTGTATCTTTAGTTTCATAATGGGTGCCTAATCAGGATAAGTTGGAAATATTTTTGGTGCCCATTTGAGTAAAATGTTAGAAACAGAGCAATTGCTGTAGTCTCTGAAGCTATTCAGTGACATGCTAGAGCAGCTCTCCAGCTGCAAAGGAAGGTGCATGGACTCCAAAAGTAAACAGATGTGGAATAAATCACTCACAAAAGAAAATCCCTCTCTGTTTACAGCTGCTATTTAACCTGTAACAGCTCAAAACAATAAAACCTCAAAGGAATTATTTCACCCTCCACTGTTTGCTGCATACATTTCCCATACAATGTTGGTTGCAATTCAAATACTGCTACTGATATTAAGCAATCTTTTATGTAACTTTTCAGTTGAATACAACAATTAAAATACACTTTGGGCAGAATGCTGGCAGTGGCAGGTTTGGGGAAGGGGAATCTTGTGTTTCTCTTCCTTTACACCCAGGGAGTCTCTTCTTTTGAGGTCTATCTCTTCACCTGGTAAACCTCAGCCTTTTCCAGTGTAGTCAGAGGTTTATTCCCCATCTATCCCAAGAGGAATGTGTGTCCCCTTCAGAATCAAAGGCTTTCCTGCTTTTACCCCCCTGCCTGGTGTACAGGATGGTTTGGAGATTTGTAATACTGACAACAAAGGCAGTGCAGCAAGGAAAAGGGAATGAGGATCATCCAGTCTGGATCTGTCCCTTCAACAGACAATGCCACTCTACTCTAAACTGACAGTTTACAAGTTAGAAGTTTTGTAAATAGTTATAAATTTGTTATCTCCAGCAAAAAGTGAAATAAAGCAAACAATATTAAAAAAAATAGAAAAACAACCACAGAAATGGCAACTTTTTTTGTTCTTCATTTTTACTATCTCTGCTCCCCCCCAAAGGACAAAATAAGGTCTTTTATCTACTTCTTCGACTCCTCTATCTGCATTGCTTTAGAAATCAGTACTTAAAGCAGTTATATCCTCAGCTGTTATTGCTCACCACCCCCTGCAGTTCTCTAAGTATGCAGATTTCAGGTTTTTTGGAAATTATTTAAGCATGGGAATACTTGACCCAACCCTGTTTGCAGACAAAATGGAAAAGCTGAAATAGCAACTCACCAGGTTCTCCTCAAACCACTCCCTCAGACACAGTGCTGTGGCCCCTGGGATTTGGTTCCTCAGAGCTTCTTTCTCCTGAGGGTCCTCCAGCATCTCCAGGGCCATCTTCAGATCTTCCAGGAGGTGCAGAATTTGAAATGTGCCCAGGTACACTGATGGAGCAGGTGACACAATATCATAACCACCATTAGCATACTCTGTGGCTGACTTTGTGCCTAAAGAAAAACAAAGTGAGGAGAGGCAATAATGTCATATAATTGCTTTGTGGGCGGCAAATTAATAGGTACCGCATGCTATAATATTTGGACTTGAGAGTGAAAAGTTTCACTCCAGGCTGAAAACTTTCATTTCAGGCTTAGAAATACCTGAAATTAGTCTCTAGAGAAGTCATGAAATCTGGAGAACCAAATGCAAGAGGTTTGTACACGCATATCAAAAAAGATTTTTGACCTAGATCACGTTTGCAATGTCCAAATTATAAATCCCAAAGCTTATCCCAAATCACCTGTAGTTTTCCACAGCTGCCATGAGATGTCACTAACTTCTCAGCTACACCACTGAAAGGCCTCACACTGCAAAGAAATGAATGACTGATGCAGCTGTCTGACAAAAAACTGGGACGAAAATAGATGATGTCACCAGATCTGGAAAAACATAAATGACCACTGCTGGTCTAAACACATTTTTTGTATTTGATGTGACGTAATACTACATGGCCCCATGTAATATAGGATGGGGCCATGTGTAATGGCGTAATATTACACGGGGCGATGTAATATTACATGGGGCCATGTAATAAGGCGGAATATTATACAGGGGCATGTAATATTACATGGGGCCATGTAATATAGCAGGGCCCCATGTGATACGGCGTAATATTACATGGGGCCATGTGATATGGCTTAATATTACATGCCCCATGTAATATAACATGGCCCCATGTGATATGGTGTAATATTACATGGCCCCATGTAATATTACATGGGGCAATGAAATATTACATGAGGCCATATGATATGGCGTAATATTACATGGGCCCATGTGATATGGCGTAGTATTACATGGCCCCATGTGGTATGGTGTAATATTACATGCCCCATGTAATATTGCATGGACACATGTGATATGGCATAATATTACATGGCCCTCTGTGATATGGTGTAATATTACATGGATCCACGTAAATACAGCATGGACCCATGTGATATGGCGTAATATTAAATAGGCCCATGTAATGTCACATGGCGCCATGTGATATCGTGTAATATTACATGGGGCCATGTAATATTACACGGGGCCATGTAATACAGTGTAATATCCTGTGGGGCCATGTGATATTACATGGCCTCATGTAATACAGTGTAATACCAGCTTGAAAGTTACAGGCTGTACCCATTGATAGGTAATGACTTGGTTGCTCCTTGATACAGAAAAAAAAAAATCCTTGCTCCAGCTGTTGACTGATTAAAAAATTCTGACCAGACACCTGATGGCATCCTACCATAAATGGAGTCTCCAAATTCACTTTTGTGTGCCTCTCACCAGGTAAATCAGCCTTCAGTTGTTCCTCAGCCACAGGACAACAGAGCAATGTGTGCAACTGCTCTAAAAGAGCTCTTCACAATCTCAAACAAGAAAATGTAATTTAATTCCCTAAAATTAAAAGCTAATAATATTTCTTAATAATCATCCATGTCACCTTCAAATTTCACTCACATTAAATAAAGAAAAAAACCGAAAACAAAAAAAAAGGCCTTGGTTTGCTCCTGAAATTTGTGTGCACAAGTGTATTTATGTGGTGAACACCATCTCTGTGTTAGCTGGCAAATATAAAACAGACTTCACCCATTTACATATTTCTAGTTCACACAATATTTAACTGAGACTGGATACAACAACCATGAATAACTGAGGCAAACCAAAACCACATCTGCATATTCAAAATCATAATTAAACACATTTCCATTGATACTTTGTTGATTTTTTTTTTACAGTGAGCAGCTTAACAGACTGACAAAACTGTACCAGAGTAAGTTACCAATTTATTAATTTTTTCAGGAAAACCCATCTGCTTGAGAAATATTAGAGACAAATTCTCTGGGTCATTTAGGACTGGTAGAAAATTGACAGAGAGGGCTAGCAGCATTCATTTTGATCTCCAGTGAGCAGCAATAGCAGAGAAACTGCCAAGGCTTCTTTCCTATGCCAGAAACACAAACCAGATCCTATTCATGGACCAGGAAAATTTAAGTCAGTGCTAAGAAGCAGTAAGGTAGAAAATTTCTATTTGCTCTACTTTTAGAACTTTTTATTTACAATTCATTTCCTCATGTGTATAATAGATTGTACACATGTCTTCACTCATGTTCTCTCTGGCATAAAAAAAAAAAAATCACAATTTCCTTTCCTATTTGATGTAATGGGAGATTTTTTTGGGTTTTTGATTATTCACATTGTACTGGCTCCACATAGCATTTTGTATTCATTAGTAGACTATATAATTGATGCACACAAAGGGATTTTAATAATCTTCTTGCTATTCCTCTTTTTACTCCTGTATTTAACATAGTTTATGTGTTAGTAATAAAGGGAACAAAAAACTTTGACCATAACCTTCTAAATTTATTTTTCCCCTGAGCAGATGTATCTAACATGATGTCAAAATGTATAAGGAATTCAGATTTTCTTCTTGAATGCACAGTACCTCACATTAATCAGTGTTAGTTTGCCTGCTGTGGTCATTTATCTCCCAGGATCTGGGCATTGCAAACTGTGTTTGAACCCAGTGTTTCATTTTACCTGCAGCCTGATACACATCTCAGGAATACACCAACACTGGAGGTCCTAGGACACAGAAATAACTAAAGTAGCTTTTAATCAAACTGCTAATTGATAATTTAATGCTAATATTGTTCCCCATGTCAACCAGTTTTTGAACAAAGACCATACTTGGTCTCTCATTTAATGAATGCTTAATTTTATTCGCAGCTTTTGGGAAAATTAAAATAATCTTAACCAGGTTTTCTTCAAGAAATCTTTCCATCACCCAAAGTAGTCTGTCATGTCTTTGCAAAAAATTGTGTGGCTTGAATTCTACCATACAATCCATGTTTTGACAATTTTAAATAATGAAAATCTCTTCCTGGAAAATTTTCAAGGCTGTGCAGTAGGATTTTTCTTTTTTTTTTATTTTGGTAAAGCAACAGTCATTTTCACTACTGGAGCACTCCATATTACCTTAATCTGTTTTCTGACTCAGAATATTCTGTTTGATCCTGTTGACCTCTGCTGCTTATGAGTTTATTTTAATACCTCAAGTGCAAGATCTCATCTTAATTTCTGGCCAAGACCATGTGCAAGATAAAGTTTCTTCAATATCCGGTGCTCCAAGGCTGCCACAGGAGCCAACCTCACCCTGTAAACCAGCCTTGGCTTCCTGAATTACTTCCTTTTCAGGGGAGGATCAACTGTCTGCTCTGCAGGGTTTATTTGCTATAACCCCTAAATGACATTTTCTAATGTATTTCTATGCTCACAGAAACAAGTTGTAGCCTGAGTCGCTGAATCTCCTAATGCAGATTAATATTAAACTATTAAACTAAAAAGAGCAGATTTCCAAATTGAGTAAGGGGCCATTTGGATCATATAACCAATGCCATCTTTTCATTCAGCACACACAAACTGATAACGCGACCCTGACTTCTTCAGCAGCACTGATTCCTTGGTTATTGTGCCATTTCTCTCTCTTTTGGGAAACTCCATGCCAATATCTCCTTTTTGCTTAGCAAGCACTTTCCACCCTAGAAAATCAGGCAGGATTCAAAGGTATTTCATAATCAGCTGTGTTGGCTACCCCTTCCATGAACTGGCAATTTAGAATATTTATGGAAAGGGAGAAATTGAAAGGAGCATTCTGCTATAGATTTTTTTTCAAGTTAGTTTCATGAATATTTTTTTATTTATAAGCAAGAGAAAAAAACCAAAAAAAAAAAAACCAACCACCCAATCCAAACAAAACCACATAAACTTACAGAACCACAACAAATATTTCAGGAGTGAAAAAAAAAAAAAAGCCAAGCTAAATACAATTTAAAACAGTTGTTCAGGAGTTCAGATGATTGTGCTAGGTAGATAAACACCTCCATCAAATGTACCACTGTGAGTTACTGTGTATCACCTCTTGCCTCAATCCTTGCATTATCATAACTACAACCCTCCTGGCAGCATCTGCTTTCCAGAGCAAACAATCCCAGGTGATGCAGGAAAATTCAGTTGATATTACATAATGTAAGTGATATTATATTAATTATAATATTATGTGTTATGAGTGTTATTATATTAATTATATTATGTTAATGATATTATAATTGTACACTGTCAGTGATATTCACACATTTCATCGTGCCCTCATTTGATTTGCCTCTACCAAAATACCAGGGAAAACAACATGCACACACATGGACTGCCACGTTTAGGAAACCGATTTTATAAAGGGTAAAATTTCTAAAGTGCCGGAGCACAGGCAGAGCCAGCCAGGAATTCTGTGATTTCCTGAGACTGGGCATGCTTCATAGGCATCCTTGAGTTATCCCAAGCTCTTCAACTGGCAGTTCAGACTGGCAGAATTTTCTGCATCCTCACGTTTTGCAAAATGCCGAATTACTTTAAAACTGGTTTGCTATGGATTGCTAACGTGGTCCCTTTTATTCTCCTGGCTGCAATAAAAAATGGAGAACTCCTCTGAATGCAACAAATAATGCACTTGGTGCTAGGGACAGAAATGCAGAAATACAGAGCCCAGCTCAGCATTTTAATTCAGAAAACTTCCTGATTTACTGCTAAAAATTCAAATGAATCACAGGCTTGCTTCTCTTATTTGCTTTCCATGTAGTTTCATATTAAGTAGGATTGCACTGCTCACCAAAAGAACACACCCTGGAAAACAGAAGTGTGTAGGAGTAAATAATTGTATTTCTTTGCCTTGCTTTAAACCTTGGCATCATTGTGCTGCAAAGCAGATGAAGTTTTAGCACCAGACAGTAAGAATTTGGGTATTTTTGCAGATTAATGAAAATAAAAAGGAGATGCCACACAACATTATTTGTTACTAGCATTCTCCACCAGTAACAGCAGTCTTATCTGTGTAGCTTTATTATAAATAACTGAAGAGGGGAAGAATGCAGTTCAAACACCAGAATTTTATCAATACTCAGGA